GTACAGATGTGGTCTCCTCACCTCAAAAAAGATATTTTGGCCTTGGAAAGGGTTCAGAAAAGGGCAATTAAAATGATTAGGGGTTTGGAACGGGTCCCACATGAGGAGAGGTTAAAGTGACTAGGACTTTTCAGTTTAGAAAAGAGGAGACTTAGGGGGGATATGATAGAGGTCTATAAAATCAGGAGTGGTGTGGAGAGGGCTGATAAAGAAAAGTTATTTATTAGTTCCCATAATAGAAGAACTAGAGGACACCAAATGAAATTAATGTGTAGCAGGTTTAAAACTAATAAAAGAAAGTTCTTCACACAGCATGTTGTCAACCCGTGGAACTCCTTGCCAGAGGAGGCTGTGAAAGCTAGGACTATAATAGAGTTTAAAGAGAAGCTGGATAAATTCATGGAGGTTAGGTCCATAAAAGGCTATTAGCCAGGGGATAAAATGGTGTCCTTGGCCTCTGTTTGTCAGAGGCTGGAGAGGGATGCCAGGAGACAAATCGCTTGTTCACTGTCTTCGGTCCACCCTCTCTGGGGCACCTGGTGCTGGCCACTGTCAGTAGACAGGATACTGGGCTAGATGGACCTTTGGTCTGACCCAGTACGGCCGTTCTTATGTTATAAGCCACAGCTCCTGGATGCAGGGTTCTGAGGTGGCCCCCTGAACCACAGAACACTATACAGCAGTTTTCGTACAACAGGCAGGGAGGGGTTGTGTGTTTCAAAATGTTGTGATGCTTACAATTACCATCTCAAGCACTGTCCTGAATGCAGAAAGTAATTACCAGCTACTTTTTCAGTGAAGGTTCACACAGTACATTATCACATTAAATGGTGGGCCAGTCAATTGAAAGTGGATCTCTTATGACTATACACCGATAAACAGTGAAAAATACCGTACCTTGTGGTATGGTAGCTGTGTTTACCACTTAGATTCCAGAATTCCTGGATGTACCGCAATATGTTTTAAGTGTTTAAAAAAAGTGAGAGTTTTTTTTTTAAAAACAGGCTTCCCTTGTTGGCAGAGCCATTTTGAAGCCTCTGTACTCAGAGGAGATAAACTTTTTAAATCGGAGCTGAGCCTTAGCCACATGAACATAGCAGCTGGTCCTTTCAGAAAAACAGAAGCACCTTTTGTAAGACTTGCAGTTCAGTTTCAAAAGTGGGATGCTCTGTGATTTGTTGGGCTCAATGCAAACAATGTATCTAGGACCATCTCCTATTAGATTGCAGACAGTTATCAAAAGGAGCTGCCCTGCAGCGAGGCGAGCCCAGGGTGGAGTGCGCAGCCTTAAGGGGAGCTGCTGGCACGTGTAACACACAGGAGATGTGCAATAATTGCACAGCCCTGCCTGACTTGGGACAGGGAGCCACTTTGCAAGGATCCCTGCTCCATCTGTGCCAGAAGCTGCACATGATGGGTGAGATTTGACTCATGACCAGTTTGCAAGTGGCACCTCTGCAGCTTCACATTACATCCTGATTCTGCTTTGACAGTACAGACAGGCTAGCAGCACCATGCATGAGCCCAGGCCTGTCCACCACTGCAGTGAAGGGATGCTCCTAGGGGGGCCTGCCCCTCAGAACATGGAGCCCCACAGGCTTGGTTTATACAGGACTCTCCTCTGCCTCCCTTTTAGGGTTGCTAACCTGTCAGGACTGTCCCCACAGCGCCAGGAATTGAGATTAATCTTTAATTAAAGGTGATGTGATGAAACCTCCAAGAATTCGTCCAACCAAATATGGCAGCCCTCCTCTTGTGAGCAGCATATGGTGTGCTAAACCCCAGGCACAGAAGCTCCTGGAGCTCATTAGTGCACACTTTGGGAAAACCCTGCTGGCTACCATGGGGCAAGGGGGAGGAGGTGGGGGGGAAATGTACAGAAGGGAGAAACGCTCTACATCCCCTCTTCTGCACTCCAGGTCCTTACCTCCATACACCTGCTTCTACACCCCATTCCCACCCCTCGCTTCAGGAGTTTCTGCACATTTCAATGGTAAGTCCACTGCCTCGCCCGCATAAACCCAGCTCTGATCCCCACAGCATCACTGCCTCAGTTCTTTCCTCTTTTCCCCACTTTTGCTCCTAAATCAACAGCATTATGACCACCGTACCACGTTTAATTCCCTAGATTTTGGAATTGAGATGCAGCATTACCAAGTTATTACATTAGACCATCAGAGCTGTCCGACCTTTTGTTAAAATACATACTTGCACTGATACAGCTTTGAGACCTTTTCTCTTCTGTGCACTTTTAAAAGACCAGCAGTTTCATCAGTTCTTCAGGGGGAAAGATGCATTTATTTCATTTTTCAAGTTCCAGAAGTCTCTGCAGAATCTTATTTAAAAACTGCAAAATTTTTAACCTAGTTTACATGACTCAAACCACCTTAAATCTATACAGGTTAAATTAGACAAATATATTCTGTACATTTTTGCTACAGCTAGAAAATAAGCCGTATCAGAACTCTCATCTGTAAAGCAAGTATGTCACCCATGATGCTCTTTAAAAAAACAAAAAACAAAAACCACACAACCCTTTTTCCTCTCTGTGAAGGTACAGTAGATTTGTATTGATTATAGCCACTTCATGCAGTTACGGTTGAAAGCCCGTCCCCCTCCCCCCCACACACATGCACAGCTGCAGGTAGTATCAGATGTTGCAAGAGAAGCGCACATACCATGAATCCACTGGAGAAGTCATTCTTCAGTGACGTAGGAAAGAAAGACATTTCCCAATCTACTGCCTTATCTTTACACTCCTGCACAAGATGGTACACTGCTTTTTTAAAAAAGGTTTGAGAGTCCCTTTTCCCACCATGCCATGCCAGTGTTCCTACACATTGCCAGTTATGAAATTCAGAAACACAAGTGTCTTTGGTCATAGTTGCAGGGGCACAGTAGGTTTTAATACTTTTTTGAAGACAAAAGTTGCCAACTATGTAAATGCAATACATACATTTTAAAAATCAGAATGCTCAGTATTAGAACGAGCGAAATCTTAAAGTGGGCCAATCCCAACATGCAGTAATGTAGACAAACACAGAATTGAGACAATACACGCTTTAAAAAAAATCTTGATTGTTATCAAGTTACTAAGATCTTGGGACTCAGCACATTCAAGACAGTAAAGACTTAATCATAGTAACTGGAAAGTGTTTGAGTTTGAAGTTTTAACTTCATTCACAGCAAGTTGGTGCCAAGGTTAGTTCCATGTCACTTATTTCAAGTATTTTTACATTGTAAAATTATCAAATAAAACCTTTAAGTTTAATTATATAGTATCAAAAATATTTGATATCAAAATCTGAATTTATCTAGCAATTGAGGTAAAAACCCTCAAACTTTTATATGTGAACCATGCTACATTTAAGTGACAATAATCACACATCATTAATTGAAATGTTTAGCATACACAGGATATGTTCAGGTTAACTGACACACATAATAGCTCTGTTGCCAAGTAAAAAGAATTCAGATGGGGTGGCTTGGTGATGAATTACTAGCTGCTGTCCATTTCTTGATCATCTACTTCTGGCTCAGGAGGATACAACTCATCCAAAGCCAGCTCTGAAACAGAGTATCAGAATATAATTTTAAATACTTTAATAGAGGAATTTGATTTAAGTATAAACAAATATGGTTAAGAACATAAATGAGCAGACTATTCAAGAAAACAACACTCTGCTCCAGAAGTCTCCTCCTCCCACTCCAGCTCCAGCTCCCCCAAGAACACTTTTCAAACGACTTCTATCCTGGCAAAATCCAGAAGGTTTGATCCAGTCAAGTATTCTAACACACACGGTATTTTCATTTTTTGACTTTTCACTTCTCAACCTAATTAACTCTTGATTCTTCAATTTTGATTCTGGATTTTGCAAGATAAAAATAAAATAATTGATTCTTATATTTAGCTGAGTGTTTCCAAATCTACCCTTGGTAAACTGTACTATTTATACAGGATGAACCTCCCAAAACTGAGATTCTCTGGTCCTGCTGCACCACGGACGTTCCAGAACAAGGGAATCCTGTCTGGGAGCCCCAGGGACAAGAGGGCTGGTGGCTGGGGCGGCGGCAGCCTGGGTTGCTGCCACTGGAGCTGCCTGCTGGGGCCAAGGCAGCATGGCAGCCCAATGGTGGAGGCAGGGAGCTGGGACCGGCAGCAGGGCAGGATGGTCAACTGCGGGGGGTCAGTAGCAGGGGACCTCCCCTGGTCCAGCAGATTCCCTCATTTGGGACTGGTCAGGTCCCTAAGGTGCCGGACTACAGAGGTCTGACCTGTAGCATGCACAGAAGTTTAGGGCTAATTTTCATAGTTTACCAATTAAAATTTCCAGATAGTCTTAAAAAAGCCACTATCCCGGCAGCAGACTACATGTGGTGTTAAATGGAAAATAGAGTCAGAACTTCAACATCTCCAGGACATAAAAGTTAGTGAAAATGAACACTTCTCATTTGGTAAGAATGGATACAGTATTAAGGAAGAGGAATGCGCAGACCACTGTTCAGCAGTGTGAGAGGAGACAATATTGGCATTGGGAAAGCCTGCATGCTCTACCGTTCTAGGTGCAAGAAAGCAACCCCGAAGAGAAAAATGTGAAATTAATGAAGCAGACACTAAGATGCATCAACAGATTATTTAAATCTGGTGGCATAATTACTAGCTCAGAGGATTTCTAGAGCCTAACATGGGAGCCAGCAGATGTCAGCATCTGTTACAAGATGCACATTCAAAATTTACATAAAATTCATTATTTGTGCCTGCTGAGGGGCAGATTCATTACGAACTGTATCTATCCTTAAACACAGAGGACAGTCAAACATGCCAGAGAAGCAGGCAGCCTTCTGCAGGAAGGCAAAGAGTTGGATCTTCTTATGAAACACTATCCCAAAGTCAAGCAACACAAACCCCATACAAACCCCACCCTTTTGAGAACGGTAGAGTAGTAAGAATGGATATTGTGCATTTGATTTTTAAGTATTTAGTTTCAGGTAAGAGCTTACCTTCAGAGGCCTTCAGATTTGGAGTTTTTTTGAGGATGGCTCTGACACCAGACATGGCTTCATCATATTGATGGAGAACTTCCAGGCAATGCTCATGAAACATTTTATCTTTCTGAGACAGACTATGCAAGAGCAAAACAGTGTCCCGTAAAAACTGAACAATTCGATCTTTATACGCACTTAAGTTGCTCTCAGACCTTCTAATCTTCACCCATTGCCTATGCAACATTATAATAAGTGCCTTGACTATCTGCAGAAGAAAAAAAAATTAGAAGATTTTCTAACTTTTTTTGTTTTTGCTGAAATTTGGAGAGTAAGTCATTTCTCAGTCTAGCAGAGAAATCCAAGCTTTGTCTTAGAAAGCATTGATTAAAGGCTCATAAATCACTATGTTGTTACTAACAATATGAAGTGGAATTTGTCTTTTTTAGCAGTTCTAGTTACATACCTCAAGGCTGCACTGGCAATCTGTACCAAGGAGTAACAAAGATGGACTGGAGCAGCGCACACACTTAGTCAGGAATCTAACAGTCTAGTACAAAAAGATGCAGATTGTATTACACTGAGAACTGGGATTCTAGAGATTTAGCAAACATGATCATGCTGCAAATAAAGGGGGAATGGCATTTCAATAATAGTTCCAAAGATTGCATAATTTTGAATAAAAGTCTACCTGACATAGCTCTACAAATCTAACACTTTTCCAATGAAACTTACCATTTTAATCATCCTTGTGACCAGCAAGCAAAACCTCCCTAACACTCTGGAGAGAAAGGGGGACAAAGCTTGTAGGTAGTGATCAATCACTAGACTTGGAAGGGACCTTGAGAGGTCATCAAGTCCAGTCCCCTGCCCTCATGAGAGGGCCAAGCACTGTCTAGATCATAAAACAGAATGAACTGAATGTTCACAGCAGACAAAACCCAAACCTCAGGTGCCTTGTACATTCTTGTTCAAGTTACACTGACAGAATAAAAAACTATAGTAAAGACACACTGAAGTTTAAGAACAGGGCTCAATATTAACAGTTTCTCTCAAACCAACTCCATGAATATACAATGGTAAAGGAACAAAGATCAGTAAGCCTTTGCTATGTGTTAATACAGCAAGTGATGCAGTAACAGATCAGAGGCCAGCTATTCCATACTAGTACCAGGGATGTAAGTAACTAGTGACAATCTGATAAGCATATTGGGAGAGTCAACTAGTGATTCGACTAGTCACTTCCCTCCCCCTTGCTGCCTCTATCACAGAGAAGCAGCAAGGGGGGGAGGGATCAGTAAGCCTTTGCTATGTGTTAATACAGCAAGTGATGCAGTAACAGATCAGAGGCCAGCTATTCCATACTAGTACCAGGGATGTAAGTAACTAGTGACAATCTGATAAGCATATTGGGAGAGTCAACTAGTGATTCGACTAGTCACTTCCCTCCCCCTTGCTGCCTCTATCACAGAGAAGCAGCAAGGGGGGGAGGAGGGGAGAGTAGGAGCCGGCTCGGGGGGGGGGGGGGGGGGGAGGAGAACCGG